TCATTTTATTTTTTTTTGACATTTAGCTGATATGACATTAGTTTGATATTTAATCTGTATTGATTGAATTGTTAATAAATGCTACTTTAATTTTTATTGCTGAACTGATTTTCATTTAAGTAATATAGGACCTTCAAATAGAGTGACTTTTATAGATTATTCTCTTTGCCAAAAGTTATACTTTGAATTTTAATCGATTTTTACATTTTTATTACAAGCTACAAAGCATTAAGTAATCAAATTTCGGTTTTAACCTGACTAGAAACTTTATTCAAAACACTCACTCTAGCTGACATTGTTTTTGTCAACTCTTACAGGTATTTTCGACCTTAGTTACAAACTCTACAACGATTTGTAAGCTCGTATCTATGCTACAAAAATTCATTCACAAAAATGAATTTGTCATTCAACGACAACCTCGGAATAATTCTCGGAAAATGTTATAAAATTGCGTCGAATGACGTTGTTATTTAAGTAATACATTTAAAAGTATTGCCTGCTAGGCGCTCTTAATTTTTTTGTTTGGCACAGATCAAACAAATGAAGCCAAAAGTACATTTATTTAATGCTTTTATCTGCAGTGAACCAATGAAGGAATTAAAAAAATAAGTTGATTATATTTAATTTAAAAAACAATACAACAAGAGATTAGGGATTAAATAACATGAAACAATGGGATATTACTAAATAAAATATAAGTAAATGCTGTAATTTTAGTTCTCAACAAATTCTCAATTTTTTTAACCAAATTACTCAAAGGAAATGCCACTATACAGGCATTGCCTGCTTAGCCAGATTATACATCTTTATCTAATTTTTTATAGCCAATTAAATCTTCACAAGCTAAGAATACATATAAATTTTCCTTATCTGGTACTACTCGCACTCGATCTCCTATTTATTAAAAGCCGGAGTTATTAAGTGATATGTAATTCACTATCATTTATTGAAAAATAGCGCCGGAATATTCAAATTGTTTCCCATGGACATAAATTAATTCTACATTAAGATAAATCGATCAACCGAAAATGCAAAGAAGTTGTGCCGACAGTAATCCATTTTGAAACGGACTCGAAACCACTTGACTGTGACTTATACCAGTATGGGTAATTTTTTTAATCGACTCGGGTTAACTTCTACAACGCACGCGAGTAGAATTATATCGGGATTTACGATATTCCACGTCATGGGAAAAATGGACGTTATTAAGATGGGAGCGATAAAAGTTCTCATAGCACATATGTATAAACGGTTATTGAGAGAAAATTCTAATCAATACAGCCACATGATGTACAACTATTATTTTTCTATATTACCAACAAAGTGCTGCTTCTTTGGCGAATACATCTTATATACCAATATTTTTTATATGTCCAGTAGTAGATAGGGGTAGGGTAAGAAATGTTTCTTAAATTGAAGAGGATTTTACCTTAGGTACAAATTGAAGGTATAATCCAGGGTCTAACCCAGTATAAATGAAATCTTGGAATATCCTAAAAGGTCTTATTCTACATGCTGTTTATTTAGACAAAAAGATACCATACAGGTTTTCAATTAAATCTAAAGGTCTTTATGATTCTTGCACTTCTTGCAATAAACATTTCATTTCTACATTTTATCAAACTTTTAAAATCAGTAGTACAGTTTTTCGTATTTATTACTCAAAAGACCATTTACAATATGTATCCACATATTCTATAATTTCTTGCATTAATTTGTACATAAAATAATGTTTTTTACAATAAAACGCTCTTTTATTTTAATGTACCTATATTTTTGAAAAATTCTGCACACTACTTTTGTACTTTGATTCTATTGCTACAGGGACATCATTTTGTGACATTATTGTGGTATATGGAAGGTTTCATAGAAAAATATGGATGTCACAAAGTAATCCCAACGCAAGGGGACAAAATTCTCTAATTTATTCATTCTCATTACCATCTCGATAACTTTTCTACAGGGTGTTAAAAAAGAGTGTAAAATATTTAAGGAGGTAATAGTATGAACCAAAATAAGCAGAAAAGTCTCAATAAACATGGGTCCGCAAAGTAACGGTTGCGGAGATATGGAATGTTTTATGTTTTTTAGCCCCTTTTTTTATTTTGCAAAAACGTTGTGTATTTTCTTATAATAGTTGGTTGATGTTTAGTGAAATAAACAGTACGTATTTGACAGTTGTTCTCAGTGCACAAGTTTTCTTTCGCTATGGCTGGTTACTCTAACGCAGAATTAACAGACATGCATTTCATGTATGGTCGTGCTAATGGGAACGCCACCGAAGCGCGACGTCTTTATGTTGACGCTTATCCAAATCGCCAGATTCCTTCACAACGCATGTTTGGAAGAATTCACCAAAGATTGCGTGATACCGGTTCCTTGAGCAAACAGTGCCATTTATCCGGAAGACCAAGGTCGGTATCCACTCCTAGAGCAGAAGAAGAAATTCTAGCACTGGTAGAGCAGAATCCAGGTACGAGTGTGCGGAGAATATCAGCCGAGGTAGGAATTAGTGGTCCTCTTGTTTGGAGAATCCTTCACGAGCAACTGCTTTATCCATACCATGTGCAACGAGTACAGGCCTTAAATCCAATAAATGATCATCAAGCACGTTTGGTTTTTTGCCGCTGGTTTCTACGTCATGATGCTGAAGACCCTCGTTTTCTTGCAAACATTCTTTTTACTGATGAGGCCGGGTTCACAAGAAATGGAGTGTTTAATTTTCACAATACGCATATTTGGGCCGACGAAAATCCTCATGCTCTAATAGAATCTGGACATCAGGCACGTTTTTCATTAAACATTTGGATGGGTATTGTAGGTGACAGGTTTCTAGGTCCTGTTGTTTTACCAAACCGATTAACAGGCGCTGCTTACCTCAACTTTCTGCAGAACACACTGTATGAGTTTTTGGAAGACATTCCTTTGAATCAGAGGCAACAAATGTGGTTCCAGCATGATGGTGCTCCAGCTCATTTTTCCATGGCCGTTAGAGAGCATTTACACCAAACTTTTCCACATAGATGGGTAGGAAGGGCCGGACCTGTTTTATGGCCTCCAAGATCGCCTGATCTGAACCCTCTAGATTTCTTTGTTTGGGGATATTTGAAGACATTAGTGTATGGTACTCCTGTAAATAGCCTGGAAGAGCTGCAGCTACGGATTAATCAAAAGTGTCAAGAAATCCAAACCAAGGAGGGTGTTTTCGAAAGAGTTCGAATATCGTTGAGACGAAGATGTCGTGCCTGCTTGGAAATGGACGGAGGGCTCTTTGAACATCTTCTGTAACTTTGTTTTTTGTTTGTTAAAAGCTTCCTTTGTCGGTTTGTTCCTAATAAAATAAAATGATTGAAAAACGCATAGTGGTTCATATCTCCGCAACCGTTACTTTGCGGACCCATGTTTATTAAGACTTTTCTGCTTATTTTGGTTCATACTATTACCTCCTGAAATATTTTATACTTTTTTTTAACACCCTGTATATAAAATACGACGCGAAATATAATAAAATGTAATAAAAAAAACAAATGAATCAGTTTTTAAAGGTTGACATTTTAATTTAAGTTTTCCGAAAATTTATAGACATTTGAAAATGTTAGTACACGGTACCAGAGTTTATAAATTCAGTTAGGTATTGGCTCGGGTATTGGGATTAACAGTTTTTTCCTTGGCCAAATTTATAGCATTCGGCCTCATAAAACCATATTTATATATCCTGAGGTTTTTGAAAAAGTAGGTAAGTTTATTTTTAACCATTTTATTGCCCTGTACCATTATATATATCTTCATTAACCTTAACCTTGTTAAAAACATTCCAATTTAAAATGTTTATAAAACTAAGTAATCCAAAATACCAAGAATTTAAAACGGAAAGTCATATAAGTGAAATTGTTGACGAAATGAAACATTGATTAAACTTCTAGTTCTAATAAAGAGGACATTGAATGATGTCTTCAAGGCATGTTAACTCTATATTTATGTATAATTTTGGAAATAAATCTTTTATCACTATGAATATTTTATAAATAACCTAGTATATTTTTCATGTCGTGCAATACCTTTAATTAACAGTTATTTTATTTTAATTACGTACCTATCTCTAAATTATTCTATTAGCTGTTGAATGAAAAATTTAAATTAAACATTTAGGTACCTAACTAAATTACCGTTCTGTAATAATTAGATTACATACACAAATTACAAATTTTATGTGTAAGTATTTTTATTTTATTCACAAACATAGTTTCATGGTCTGCTTAACTATTTACAACTCTATTCACTATTAATTTGCGACAACAATGTCATAAAATGATTAGTTAGATACCTATTCCAAATTAGTTTAAAAAAGTTTCGCAGGTAGGTACCTATTTCAATACATATAAAGCAAATAATATATATTAATTTGCAATTTACTTAATTATAGGTAATTCCTACTTTCGATTACACAAGGGTCTGCAGTTGTGATTTTCATGTAGGAACAGTAATATTGATCACTTTCAACATAATTCTGCAAGCATTCGCCACAATTAGCGAAAAGGAGCAACCGCTGGTATCCATCTTTCACCTAACCGGCATTGCTAAATAGATGCCAGATAAAATTTTTCAATCATTATTACCTACCGCACCGAGTGAAACGGAGAAGCAATTTTGCAAGTATAAAACGAAAGAAACATCTTCGATATGAAACAACTGAACGTCGAGGCAGACAGATGAAAGTTGAGGATTTCGTAAAAAAGGTTAAAACTGCATTCCAATTCACTTTTTGCATTTTAAAGTCAGGTCGAACAACTGGTGCACTGGATCTGACAACGGCGGCTTTAACGGGAATTGTAGCTGTCATACCCACCCCGAGAAGGCATTTCTAACGAAATATGTCGAAAAAAAAATCAATGGGGCACTGAACAAATGAATATTAAGTATATTCCAGCGGTTGCCCCAAATCGCCACTGTCATCGAAAAATGCCAATAATAAAAACATGCACAAAATAAACGATGCTCACCTCTCCGCTTTCAGCGGCTGGAGAATCGTCCAGGATATTGTAGATGATGGGTGGCAAGCCGGGCTCTCCTAGAAGGGAAAATCCAAATCCAGAGTTCTCACTGCGATTAAGTACCACTAGTAACTCCTCAGCCATGATCGGCTATCATTGATTTGAAAAAAAACACGCACTTTACAGAGGATACACTACTTGTCGACACATAACCTCCTCCATGACTGAGTAATGCGCTGCAGTAACCGCCAGGCGGCGGTACTTTCTGGAAGCCTTCAATGGCCAATCTTTCCGTGAAGAATGGAATCCCAGTGGCGGCGGTATTAGGAACGGCAGTAGAAACCGTATTGTATACAATTGTTTCTAAAAATGTTTTTTCAAGTTGCGCACAGTAAAATTGATATAGAATAAAACTAAATATGTATTTAACATAATGTATATTCTGTAAATACTTGTAGGTATATAAAATCATTTAATCATCTGTTCAAAAATAATATACTTTTATAATGAGATTTTTAAAAGTAGCTTAACTCAACCATTTTGAATTTTAGTGTCTCTTGGAAATGTTTGCAATTTTTATCGATTAAAGTAAATAATACAGTGTGTTTCGATTTATAGGTATACAATGCATTATCATATTGAGTAAAAAAAAGCTCAAATATTTTTTAACAAGTATATAGACCCTGAAAAGATACATACTCTTAAGACTTTTTTAAAACTGCAAAAACTCTACGCGTTACGTTCTTTTTTAGGTTTAGGTATCAATTTTAGAAGTTAATAGCATTTTTTTTATTTGAACCCTTAGATTATAGCCTTCTACGATTTTTTTAGCTATTAAGAATTAATTTTACAAAAAAATTGAAAATATTAAGTATATAATTGTTTCTTTTCTTTTAATAATAATTGAGAAAAATTATGTTTAAAACAAAAGTAATGAAATTATTTAAAAAATAAAAATATACTATTTGAAGTGTAATTATAAAAATGAATCTATAAAAATTGATATGGGACGTTTAATACATATTTATGTGAAAAACTCATTTAGTATTATTTATTTTACAAAAAATGAAACAGATTAATTTAATGTTTACATATCAAATAATTGCCATAATTCATAATTGATTATATGAAGTGATATAACAGATTTATTTCACTTATCAGTAAGGTAGATAAAAGCATAAATATGTTCAAACTGCATAAATCACCACTTAATATATACTTCTAGCGGGAAAGAATAATTTTCCTATTTTTCTGTATTTCAAGCTTTTGAGCGATTCATCTAAACTAAATTTACTTTTCAGATTCAAATTTTATTAAAAAAAAAGTTTTTTCCTACAAAATACCCGACGTCACCTCCATCAAAATTTGGCTGTATAAAGAAACACATTAAATTAATAACTTATATTTCAAACAAACTAGAAACATTAAAGTAAATGCTTGATCAACAAACAATAATAAAACAAAGAGTATTATTATTATTAAAACAAATCTATGGAAGTACAATTTGACACCAAGATAGTTAACACCAGAATTACTACATCCCAAATTTTGTCTACTAGAATGGATCGATTTTAATTTTTCTTCCTCTGAACTATAATAGGGCCTACGTTATCACCAGTTTCCTTGTTGTGATTTCCATGAGATCCATCGCAATAGGGCCACTAAAAATGAGACAGAACTTAAAAAAAATAAGAAACGAAATGTGTTAACATAAGTATAAACTGCGAGGCCAAAAGAAGAAATAAGGAGACATATATAATCATATTTCAGTCGGTTAAACACAAAAGCACTATATTCCGTAACTCGTCTAGAACAACTTATTCTTCTGGGCATCGAGATCCAACAATTTACTTACATTTTTGCTTCTCCAGCAACGGCAGAACACAGCTTTATCAGTAATATCTTCTACATCCACGGAGTCTACGACTTTATTACTGGTTTTGAGTATACAGGGATTGATTTTTCCACTTGCTGCAGGACGGCCATGGGGACAGAACGCCCTGTATACAACGTAACTAAAGCCAGCAGCAACTGCAGTAGGTGGGACTAAAGCCAGCCAATCTTTAACTTAAATAGTTTCAAGGTTATTAAAAAAACTATCCATTGCACTCTTTGAACCTAAATAAACTACAAAACACAGTAATAAAATTAATATATTTTGGATATAATTATTTTTATTATTTTACATTTGTTGCTGTCATAAAATTGAGAATAAAATATATAGGTACTTACATCCTAACCTAAACCATCCTCCGAAGGTGTCAGGAATGGGCAAACTTGATAAATAATTAGGTACTGCGTCTTTAACTACATAGGCTACAGGTTTCATTTTTTGTTAATTTTTACACAGCTGTCGTTAATAGTTACTGAAAATGTTAGCACTAGGTTAATTTTAGAAAATGCAGTTACTATAAAACACACGCAATACGGATACGGAATAGACTAATAGAAAGTGATTTTATGTTGGCTAGACTCTTGGGAACAACAGTGCAACGTTGAAATTTGACCCCGTTTAAATCTAGGAGATATGATATGAAGTAGGTAACTTAAAAATCTCTTTTATCTTTATTACGAATGACTAAAATTGTTAAGGTGTGAAATGACTAGATATTTGAAATAATACATTTTTTTTAAAGTAGATACCTATTAAATATTTCTTAGATATATTAATTATAAAAAGGAAATATTTAGATTTATAGGATAACTAGCATTTACTGACCTAGAGCTGATAGCAAACAGAACATTTTTCATAAAACATAATCTTTATAGATAGGCAACCCGCAATACACATCGGTCAATTAATTGCATATTAGAGCAAATCGTGAGTAAACACAAGATAGAAGTATGTGAAGTAAATACGTTTTTCTGTATTTAATCTATGAATACGTTGTTTGATAATAAAGTGCTATTTATAATGGTACATCTCTCTGCCTCGCATGTATGTTCATTTGAATTTTTAACACTTTTTTTATTAAACACTAGAAATTACAGACCCATCCAAACGATATTTAAGCATGACAAGTATTCGGTAGAAATATGTGATTTTATTTTTTCATAAAAATCAATTCTCGAACATATTTAAGTACACATAATCAGTTTTTTAGTTATAATATACATATGTATAATCTTGGTTTTGTTATTCAGAATTTTCTCTACACATTCTTTTTTAAATTTGTAATGCTGTCTTGCTGTCTAGACGATTAGAAGACACAGCAACCATTAACATTACTTGCACATACCAGTCTACTGATAACTAAAATTGATGAGGTAATAATTATCCACAAGGTTGGAATGGAATTAAAACTGAGTTAAAATACATAGGTCAAATTTAGAAATACGGTATGTTACGCAAAGACGTAGGTTCGTAAATTATCTAAATATGAAATAAACAAATATAATTCAATAAAACAGTCATAAATCTTACAAAATATTTTTATTTTCTGATTTAGAACGAAAATTAGTCCGTAAAAATGCACTTTAATAGTCTTAAACTCAAAATTCCATCCTCCGTGCCTTCTCGCTGGTTCGCGAAAACTGACCTCGCGCGGAATTGCGAGATTATTTGATTATGAATTACATTGTTGGCTTATTTTGATTTTTAAGTTTAATAATTTATTAATTTTGCGCTTCCCTATGAATGGCGCCCTACTTGCCCCTTCGTAGGTACGACACTGATGTAAAGAGTATATTTCTGTTTTTGCAAAAACATTAAAAAAAATTATCCAAAAAGGAATGTTTGTAAATATTATACTCAATGTTGTTACTGCCTATTTTGTGATAGATGCGAAATGTGAGTTCTTCTTATGTTTAAATTTTGGCATGCGGAACCATTGGTTAAGATGAGTCAGGCACAGAATCTGCTTGCGCAAAATAATAGTAGTAGCGGTTGGATATGTGGTAGCGGTCAAGTGAGTCATGTTTCGTTACCACTTATACATTACCTGTTACCTAGAAAACAATTATCGCACTGGGATTTCATTGATATTTGATCACTACTACTACAAATGAGTCAGATATAACTGTCACCTTGCTCGCCGTAAGTAGCAGATAAATAAAAATTGACGACGATTTGAAATTAAATGGGAAAAATAATGTCATATTTTCTTATGCCCAATCATTTTGATGGAATTGATTTTTCGATTTCAGTTATTACAATTTTATTTCACAAAATACGAAACTGATCATTATAATTTATACAAATAGCTCTCCTTGGTCATTAGACATGACCTATAAAAACAGGTTTTTGATTAATTATTTATATTCAAACACGTACACCATACCACATATCTAACCATACAAAGAAAACGAAGCCCATGTTTTATCAAACTACTGACAAGGAAAATGTTTGATGATAATATTGACGTGATACAGTATCACTCATACTGATACTGTACAGGGTGATCGATATGTGTTTTGCTGATGATAATTAAATTCTGACAACGGGGTTATATTTTCAGTGTATGTATCATTGAAATATATGTTGAAACATTTTAGTTATGTGTTTTACACTGTTTGGTGGCGTTCAGGTAGTCTGTTTTAGAAATTTCCTCTGATTTGATGAACACGGTTCATAATACCTTTTTTATATTTACCTGTTTATATTACTTACTGAGATTTTTTGTTAAAAATGAACCTAGATATCTAGTTATTTTGCAAAATAAATTAAATTTATGAGATTTACAGACACCAATGATGTTATGCAAATTTTGAGCCTCTCTATAAAAATATTTGTAAATTATTACATAACATCATGATTCATTTTATAAAATAACTTTAGTTACCCATGTTAATTTAAAAAATAAATCAAGTTTAAATAGGCACTTCTCTAACTTCATATCCTCTTGCCATATCATACCAAGAACTTCACTTTCAGTTGTTAATATTGCAAATAAATCGTTAACAGAATTTAATTATTTTCAGGGATTTTTAAGGAAAACGCACTTCGTAAGATAACGTAAAAAAAATTATTATAAAAATCTTCAGGTTTCACAGACTGAGGTAATGTACAAACGTGTAATGGCACTTTAAATGATGATTTTGATTTATTTCTATGTTTAGCTTCGTGGGTCGTAAAAAATCAATCTGCTTGAAAAATATATTATGAATTTCTAATTAACAATTATTTATTAACAGATTTTAATAATGGCAACAAGAGAAACTCAAAATATGAAATACTCTGCTCGTTCTGTGCAGAAAACAAAGATTTAATTATTCCTTCTGAAAAAATATATATCTACTCTACATATGTACATATTAAGTTCTTAAAGCCGAAACTTGTATGTATGCTGTATGCATCGACTTCTACATTTCAAAACTCAAGTTGCAGTGTGTATTTTTCATTTAGGTGCTTCTTTTTCAAAATACAGTGTCAAAATATTTGCACAAATTTTGAGATTATTAGTTGAAATAACTTTTACCTTATGTCGTCAAATCTCTTGTGTAATTTTGGTATTAAAAAAATTGTGAGAAGAAGATATAGTGAATCGTTATACTCATTAGTCCTCTCAATTTTGTTCTCCGCGCGCTTATGACTTTTTAGATCAGACTTACTTATTTCCTTCATACAAAATTTTTATTTAGGGACTGTTTATTAATTCAAGTTTCAAATAGGAAATTAAAAGCACTACAAATTTTATTTATTTATTTCTTTGAACAACATTTGCTTTTCTATATTTCTAAAAAAGGCATACAAATAGTTTACCGTTTATATAATAGTATAACTAAACACTGCCAAACTAAAATGACTGAAACAAAAATGAACGAAAACTAAACATAAACTGATGCAGCCTGTTAGCTAACACATGACAGCCTAAAGCCTGTATCAGACAATGCAATTTTGTTGCAGGGATTTGGTTGCCGCTATTGAATCCATGAAATTTTTATTATCAGACTATGCAATGTCCCGGCAACTGAATTGCATGAATTAGAACATGCTCTATTCCGTGCAACAAAATTGCAGGGATTCTAGTTACTTTTATGAAGATTTGTTTATAACCAACTTAACTGTTGTTGGCTGTTGTTAGTAACACCGTTGAAACCACTATTAAAGCTATACAGCAATTTACTTTCAAATTTTCATTCACAAACTACCAAATTTCTTCTGAAACATTTTTAAACGTGTTGAAAAAAAATAGATATTTATATTTCTTAAATGGCATTGTACTCCTATATTATTGAGTTCTAGAGATAAATAAAATTTCTATATTTTTAATCATTTCTTTATAGAGGACAATCCGTATACTTATAATGTATGATGTATGTTGACCAATATGTTAATTTGGGACCATGTGGCTTTGCCCTGGTTTGCCATACGTTAGTCATTGTGTAGAAAAAAATTGCCATTTCGGTCGAAGCTCCTCTATTGCCTGTAATTTCATACGCAAATTCGGTAGATCGTATTTGGAATAAATTCATTTTAATATCAGTGACGGTATTGGCCATGAAACGGGTAAATACAAATCCTCCCATCACGATCACCTCGTTGTTTTCTTCTACTACTTTCCATTTCCTCTGCGGCTACCGGTTAACAAAATGCGGCGACAGTCTTTGAGATTGGGACAGTGTAATTTTCACTAAATCTATAGTTACCCCATTTGTAGAAACGAGTTATGCGGTGGTAAACATGACCATTAGGCATTGCAACCGATTAGTATGACACTAAATGAGTCAGTAATGTGCCCTAGGAGTCTTGAGAGAAACCTAAGCACCTGTGGAACGCGGTGCACATTCGCTGGTTGTCTGTCCGTCTGCCCTGTGCTTGGTCCCCAGATATAAAGAGCTAGGAGTTACCAATACTGACATTAATTTGTTGATATGAAAATAATCACTGAGTTATCTGGTTTTGTAACTGACGTAGCTGTGTTGTTCGTCGCACGCGTTTGTGTCGTAAAATTTAGAAATTTCGTGTGATTTACTTGTTTTGGTGGTGATAAATAATATTTTGAATATGGTGTGCCTCGAGCACGGGATGAGAAGCCTTTTCCTTCTGGTGACGTTTTCAGCAGGTGCGTTAGAATAAAAAGACATCTCTTGTTATAAGTAGATATATACTTTTAATTACACCACAAATAAGATTTACATTTATTTATTCTTTATCAAAATGAAAATGGCAAAAATTGCCCAAAGTTCTTGATGCTTCAATCACATACAAAATAAAAACTTTAGTATCATATTATCGTTTCTATCGAATTTCTAAAAATACAGAAGTAAAATCTATTTCGCTCAAGAATAAAATTTGTTTCTATTAAATTATGAATCAGTTTACACTCAAAGTTCAAGGATGAAAAACTAATAACCTGCATTACGCATTATATTTCGAATGGAAAATTTATAATTACCTACCGTCCTTAGAAATCCAAAGATTTAAATGACAAATATTTTTATTTAATTTTTACGGGATCTAATACAAATACAAAATTTTTTCTTTTCAATTTTACGGATATGTAGGATCTGGTTTGCGATGTATTCGTGACTTTTCATATCTTCTTAAAAATCTTACTAAAACTAAAATGAACTATGTAAA